AGCTGTATGCCCATACAATCGAGCTCCACCCAAAAGTGGAATCTCTGCTCATCTGCCTCCCACCCCATCTGCTGCCACATTTGGCACCTATTTGGGGGCAAGTGGGTTTTTTGACAGGTACACGCTCCCAGTTCTGGCTCAGATTGCTGTGGCGAACTGACCTGGAAGTTCGCCCCCCCCTTCCCCTGCAGCCTTCTGGGACACTTCAGAGGACCCAGAAGACTGTGGCCCATTCACAAAGCACACTTCACACATGTGCAGAAGGAAACCAACTCTGAAACCCTTAGTCAGGATGGCAATAGCAGCACCCAATAGCCAAATGAAGAATCTTTACAGGTGAGGACACCGCTAGATGCCTGGACAGGTAAGTGCCCTTACATTAAAAATTAAAATAAAAAAACAGTATTTGCAGCTGCTTTAAAAATTTATTTTTTGGGGGGGAGGTGGAACTCCTCTTTAAATACGAGCATGTACGTTATTTCTCGGGTTAAAGTAGTTTCTAGTGATATAACAAATCATCTTCTACACAGGAAGCCCAATAATGTAATAGACCCTCACGCTTTTTTTTTTTTTTTCTTAATTCCGCCACTTGTTTACATTCTGCTGTCAGCGGGAAATCCCACTGATAGCAGTCAAGGACGCAGCTATTCTTCACAATAAATATGGATTAGATTAGAAAATATCGAATCCTTCTGATACAAATGACTATAAGAAATGACTGCTGAATAAAACAAATCTGTTCAACATAACAGAATTCTTCAATTAACAAATTAAATGAGAATGAAACAAAACTAAAATTTTGGCCGTGCACATGTCTATTATTCACTTAGCTTAGTATTTACATTAATGCTTTGTTTTCACAACGATCCAATCATTTGTAAGAAAAAAAAAAAACATGTTTGTAAATTTCCCTTGTACATTTTTGTATACCCAAAGTGAACACAGCCTTAATTTATTTATTAAGCTAAACAATCACTTTGCAAAGTAAACATTATTTCTTTAGTAAAGCAATCTTTTTTGACGCGTACATATATTTCAGGTTGAGTTACTGTGCTCTGCAACAACAGGCTTTTTATGAAAGCTGTTACAGAAGCTTAGCCTCCCCCCCCTCCCATTAGTGCCCTATTAGCCTTTTATTTGTGAAAATGTCACTAAACCCTTATGTAAGCAAAAGTGCAAGCTACAATATATATACACCCACTTTAATATTTATGCTCTTGAAAAAGCTTGCTACAGGGCTTCTTTTAATTTGCTGACTATTTAATCTGCCCCACAAATCTCAAAAGCACTTCTGCTTGAGCAATGCACTGCTCTAATCAGACTACATATGGCATGATTACTTGCGCCAGCATTGAGCAATGCACATGAATGCCCATTAGAATGATTGTAAACCCTTACATATACCCAGTTAAGTGACTGGCTTCAGATGATATATAGAGATGAAACAGATGCTCCTACATGAGTTGTAACTCTTTATTTGCAGCCCTCTCTTGTCTGAAGCTGTTCAAAGTCCAGAATTTATGCAGCTTGTCTGAAATTTCAAAAAGCAGGAGGTGGGAAGCTGCAGTTACAGTCAGTGAGAAGAGCAGAGAACTGATTGGAGGGAAGGGACACACCCCATACGCACAGCACACAGGAACAGTGCTGATGCTGTCAATCATGGGCTGTGTGCTGGTGCTTTCCTCCGCTGTCATCTTTTTAGCTCTTGGTGTCAGGGAAACCTGTCAGAAGTGACTCATGCAGATAGCAGAGGAAAAAGACAGCAGACAGAGATGACACTTAGTGCTCTAGATTGAGACTGATACACACTATAGAGTGATATGCTTTGTTCATAATATCATGTCCAAGGTTTACAACCATCTTAAGTCTACCTGGCAATGGGTGGTGCTGTGGAAGAAGCTTGGAGGAAGTTATATGCTGACTGCGCCAGCACTTAGTGTTGTATTTCTTTGCAGGAACACACTGACAAGGGAGGCTAGGCTAGATCTGGACCATGTAGGGCTAGCGTAGCCACCCTCAAAAAAAGAAGGCACAAGGGCAATATATTTTAAACGATTATTAAATACTATAGGAACAATCTTAGGTGATTAAACATATTTATATTTATGCCGGATAAGGTAATGGAAATTATTGTATTTATTTTTTTATTTGAGTTTAGTTAAACTTTAAAAAATGTAAGACTACATATGATATGCATCACACTGTTTTACATATGATGAATAGTGACACCTGTCTTGTCTTGTTATGTAATATTGGGCACTGTCTCAGTTTATGTGTAATTTATGCTCTTTGGAATAATAGTTATAAAACATTTATTATGCAAAAAAAAAAGAAAACTAAAAGCTCTAGCTGTTGGATGGATAGATGGATATGTGAATATATTTACATATTTGTACACAATTCATATTTACATGATTTAACACAACAGACAAAAAACTATTTTAAATATATTTCCTGACCATTATAAATAAATGAAGAATAAGTTATAACATTTCTATAACATAACTCAATTTATAATTTCATAATTTAATTTCTATTACATATTTATTGCAAAGGGAATGCGATTTTAAAGCAATTGAAGGACAATGAGAAGTTATATTAATTTAAATGTCTGAAAAGTTCTGACATAGCTGAAACTTATCCCATTAACAGTTATTTAGGGAAAGAGGTCAGGAAAAAAGGTAGGCGAGGTACTACTTTCTCTGAAAAAGGATTACAACTGGAAATCTATCTCTAACATAGACATAAATGAAAAGCAAACACAATTTTTTTACAAGTAGGATTTTCTTTCTAGAGGTCTTCAGACATTAACTTACTCTTCTGTGTTGTTGCTGTTGTTGACATTGAAACTGGCAAGAGTCCAATGGCTGCAATAACATATTCATTCATGAAATAAATACATAACATAAGAAATAAAATCCTTCCTAATATATTGGGGGAACATGGCAAACAAAACAAATGAGAATGAGCTAGAACATTTGATAATGATTTTATTGCTGTTAGTACCCTTCTACCTTGGTGACCTTGTAAAAAAACGCTCCCTCCATGTCTTGTACAGGGATCACAGGGACAGGATGTGTGGAAAGATCTCCCCAATAGGGTCACCAACAAAAATATAAACCAGCCAAAAAAATTTTTAATTCCCCCCACAAACTACAAAATTCCGGTTTAGGTCCTAAATTGAAAAGAACTGCAGTTGTGACATTCCTTTAGGTACAGAATAGCCTTGAGGGAATGGGGTTGATATATTAACCTCCCTAGAGGTCGGACTATGTCTATATTTCTGTGCTCAAAGCGGTACATTTTTTTACATGGAAATATGTATTTTTTTTATTGTAGGCCTGTAATTTTTAGGAATAACTCTCTGAAATCTGTCCGAACAAGAGTCTAGTAAATATCCCGGGTAGGATAAAATTTGAAACACGAAATCATAAATTATAATTTAATAAATAATCAAAAAAAATAATAATATAATAATAATAAATTTAATTTATTAATATAATCAAACCAAAAATACTGAAATTTGAAATATAGCGCCAAGTTCGCACATCACTGAGCAAAGTCGCAAAATCGTTTTCAGTGTCTGATGACGAATTTCCCCACAAATCATTATCACTCAATCCTGCAAGTGGTTCTGATTTACTATCGCTCTTCTCTAGCTGGTCTAAAACCGCTTTTGACCTAAAGGGACGCTTTTTGGACACCATGGACGTTTCTCAGTTTCCAGGCAGAAAGAACAGTAAAAATGCAGGCAGGGCACAGGACAAAGCACTAGGGACAAAATGTATGTGAAATGGTTTGATACAATAATGTTGTACTATGTGATTTTAGTGTATTTAGTGAATGTCACTTTTTGTTATATTCAAATTTCCCGCCGTTCCGTCCCTGTACGTCCCGACGCTCGCAGGGGAGGAACCCAGATGACAGATGCTGGCATCCTCCGGAGGACATTGCCGGGAACACTGCAGGAGGGACATCGCGGGAGCGCAGGACAAGGTAAGTGAAGAACAGATCCTGGAGCAGCACCACATGGTAAGCCCGAGTGTAGCTCAGGGTTACCGCTTTTGGTACTGAAACTTTACCCCAAGCTACACTCGGGAATATCGACAGGGAGGTTACAGGCAAATAGGCTGTTACTCTGCAAAGGAAGTTGCACTTTGCAAGAGTGGGTTCCCAAGAGCTTAGAGCAAAGAATACCCAATCAGGTGTAAGTCAAATGTAAAAAAAATTGATTGTACATGATTGGATGATGAAAGACAACAGTTTGCCCAGATTCACTACGCTCTGTGGAAAAATTCCTTGAAAAGTACAATTTCCTTTGCAAAAATTAAATGCATAATCAGTAAATCAACCCCAGTGTCACAAAAAATTAAACTCCTATTGCAGAGAATGCCTGTAATTTTACTTGCAGCTCATTGTAGTGTGCCAACTGCACAAGCAGAAAATGAGATTTCTGGAGGTTTGTTGTGTACATACTAATATATACAAATATGTTCACCTCACCATATTGCACAAGAGCCACAATTAATTTTTTTTGCCAGTTTTAGAAAACTTAGAGAGAGAGAGAGAGAGAGAGAGAGAGAGACATTTGGTGTGAATTACTTCCAGAAAAGTGTTAGTAGGTAGAGTGCTAGCAAACATGGAATTAGATCTGGAATCTGTAGAAATGGAAAAAGTTTGCTCAATAATAAAACCATAGCAGCAAAGAGACATGAAACATACCATATTAAAGTAACCCTGTCATCACCAAAATCTAAAAGAAAAATAATGCTACCTGGATAGGAGGGTTTTTAATGTTACCTGGACCGGAAGACTTGCCTATCCCACTGCCAGCGCCACTGATCTTCACTTCTTGAAAAGATACCACCTCTGAAGAATCTTATGCATCAGACACTTTTGGGAATGGTGTGATACAGAAGATTCTTCAGAATCCTATTTTTCTATTTAATTTCGGTGACAACAGAGTTACTTTAGCAAATAACAGTATCTATTATATTTACCTGTTTGCTTTTTCTATTCGTTCTTGATTCTCTACAAAAGACTGGGTATTACTATTCCTGCTTGACACTTCTTTAAGCTCAGGACCTCTAAACCGTTCCAAGAAAGAGTCTGGGCGCTGATCTTCCCCGACAAGGTGTCTCATCGCCCAGTTCTGTACTGTGAGCAGAAATCTGGACAACCTATAGAGAGTACTATGAATATTTTACTACATTTCGTTGTTCTGTAAAAAGAATGTACTTTATACATTTTATTTTAAAAGGTAATTTATTACATAATTACATAGAATAATAATAAACAGAGACAATATGAATATGAGTTAGAGGAGATAAATGTTATGAATTAATCATTGAGATAATATGATCATAGTAGAAATTAACTTTTTTTGAGAAAGACAGGAAATTAAAGAGATAACCAAACACTTTATATGAATAACATATTTATTGACCAGGGCTGTTCTACAAGGTTTGAGGCCTTGGAAATAATTCAAGGTAGACCAATTAAATAATTAATTTCCAAATTTGCATTGAAAGAGGAACTGAACTCAAAGAAAGAAGATTTGCTGTGTTATAGGGAACATCTAGAGTATTAATTTTGCCTAAGCAGTACGCTGAAAATATTACACTTTGTCTAGAATTCCTTATGAAAAATATCTTCAATTTTGCTTGCGGTGATTGTAGCCATATTAGTGCACTTGCAACAGAAACAATTGAGTACTGTCCGTGATACTAACCACAACATACAAGGCCATCCACAACATTGCCCCTAGCTACATCACCAACCTCATCTACAGATATTGCCCAAAACGTCCTCTCTGCTCCTCTCAAGACCTCCAGTTACCTTGTTACCTCTTCCCACGCTCACCTCCAGGACTTCTCCAGAGCCTCTCCAATCCTCTGGAACTCTCTGTCCCAGTATGTCCAGTTAGCTCCTACCCTGTCCGCCTTTAGACGATCCTTGAAAACTCATTTATTCAGGGAAGCCTACCCCACCTCCACCTCCACCTAAGAACTGTACTTGTGTCACCTCCATCAGATAATTCCCTGCGGCTATTACCTTTTGTACCACCTCCCCCTCACTTTAAATTGTAAGCTCCATGAGATGGGCCCTCCAATTCCTTCTGTATCAAACTGTATTGTGATTGTACTGTCCCCCTTATATTGTAAAGTGCTGCGTAAACTGTTGGCACTATATAAATCCTGTATAATAATAATCATAATAATTACTACTGTTCACATTTATCCTTGCTGGAGGCTATGGCATGAATTAAAGTTCTCCCTCTTGTACTATATATTGGCAGGTCTAGTTTAATACAATTTGTTTCTGAGCACCCATGCCTGCCTGATAGGAGTACCATAGGAATTAGGATGTACATGGGCAATTGTCCTGGTTGTGTCTCCAAACACTTCTGAAAATCTAGGCGTATTGGTTTAATAACATCAAAATCAATGTAATAATTATTTTTCTAATAAACTAATATTATTGTAAATATAAGATATAATATACAATGGTAATATTTTGGCAAATGTCAGAAACCCAATACTTATGTTCTACTTAGCAAGAATCTCTGGCATCCATTCATAATTATTGAATTTTTATTCTACCTCGATTTTCTCACATTACCAATTTTGCTGCTTACTTCAAATAGATGCTATTTTAACATATTCTGAGATACAATTTCTCCATCAGAGTCTAAATCTAAAGTACTATTTCTAGAGAGAGTTTGAAAGTTGTAACATCAATAACAACGTATACATTGACTTTATGTATGTCAATAAACCTAAGTAGGTGGGAAGAGAAACCACACATGCCAGTTATCATCAGTATCATTTATTCACTTTCAACAAAAAAACACGTTGATATAAATGTATATGGAAAGTTATGTTAGCAAGTATCAAAAAGTGAGCGAGGTCATTCTTTTACCAAACATAGATTTGTTGGAGAAAGTGGTAGCTCACTACCTTTTCTAGTAGTAAATAAAGATTTTACTGAACACATGATTATATACACATGCTATCATCCTTATTTAGTATGACAGCACAGAGAGCAATGAGGATGTGGAAAACACAGTAATCCAGTAAAACCATTGATCTCAGTTACAAGTCACTGCTTACTAGTTGGTTAAAAAAACTAAAACTTTCACTGCCTGCCCCTAAATAAGCCCTTATATGCTAAATGCTTTCATATGAAGCCACATTTTATGCATGTCTGTGTTAAATGTATCTGCATGATACAACCTCCCTCCTTTTTATTGTTTGGTTACCTGGCCATTCCTCCTCTACCTGTGAACGAACTCCTGCGGGATTCCGTAAGGCCTCTTGGATCCAATGCAATAACGCGCTGTAGTTCAGACGATGAGTCCTCACAGATTGAGTGAGCCCTGCAGAAACACCAAGAAAAGCACAATACAAATCATACACATGCCAATTCATTACTAACCTACAAAGTACCAGCCATGATCTTGGACTCCATTGGTTCTTTCAAATTAGATGTATGACTCCCCAGAATGGAGAGAGAACATTCAAATAAAGTGAAATGAAAAATGGAGATAATGGAAACATGCATTTATTCTGAAGTGTAAACTCTGTTTTGAAATTTAGATATGTAATGGCATAAACCATGTATGAATATATGAAAGTGTATATAGATGATACATACAGTGGTGCACATGACAAATGTTTTTTTTTCTCAAATCATTTTTTATTAACAAGTTTTTGTAGGTTTTATAAAAACAAAACAAACCAAAAACAATAAGCAAAGTAAAAGTAAAAGATAGTACACTAGAAAGATTGCAGCATACACTGCCCAATACTCAAACATAGGGAAATTTCATTACAAGTACAGTTACTGTAGATATATGAAAATGACAGTGACAATCACCATATGCTAGCAATGCTCAAGGTATACAAAGGACAACTCACTCATTTCATTTAGGGAATGCCAAGTACAGCGAGATTTTGTTGTGTAAACCAAACAAGTGTACCTGAACAAAATGGAACCACGATCTAACCAAAGGACAAGAAAGTGTCACAACTAAAGCCAGCCTTATAATCAGTGCACTTCCGCTATACCTATATCATCTGGGTGCATACACCTAGCGGATTGATAGAGACAGAGATATCTCTACAAATCCATGGCCAATGCATTTCCTTTGTAGTGTTAACACTGAAATATTCATAAGGACACTATGGCCAGTGGAGCAAAGCCTGGGGTCTGCAGCCATGGATCCCATAATTCTTAAAATTGCGGGGGAATTCCTTTGTTGGAGAATATGATGCTCTTAAGAAGGGTAGAATTAACCTGAGTGTGCCAATCTGCAAATGTTGGGGGGAGATGAGATAGCCACTTGGAGAGAGAGAAATCATCAAAAAAAAAAAGAGAGCCCAAGACTTGCATTACAGTGTAGTACCAAACTGTCAGACCAAAATATTTCTTTTTTAGCTAAAATTTAGCTTTAACCTTTTACTCACTCGCCAAAAGGATACTTTTTCTGTGAAGAAATTATTGGGCCAATAATATGTTATTACAATGAAATTTGCTACATTTTCCTTATTGAATTAGTTTAAAAGGTTCATAGTGAGAAAATAAATATTCACTCACTGGCCACTTTATTAGGTACATCTTGCGAATACCGAGTTGGACCCCCTTTTGCCCTCGGAACTGCCTTAATTCTTTGTGGAATAGATTCAACAAGGTGTTGGAAGCATTCTTCCAAGATTATGGTCTATATTGAAATGACAGCATCACGCAGTTACTGCAGATTTGTCAGCTGCACATCGATGATGCAAATCTCCCGTTCCACCACATCCCAAAGCTGCTCTATTGGATTGAGATCTGGTGACTGTGGAGGCAATTGGAGTACAGTGAACTCATTGTCATGTTCAAGAAACTAGTTTGAGATGATATGAGCCTTGTGACATGGTGCATTATCCTGCTGGAAGTAGCCATCAGAAGATGAGTGCACTGGAACTCGGTGTGGTATTCTGCTGCTGTAGCCCATCTGCTTCAAGGTTCGATGTGTTGCACTTTCAGAGGTGATATTCTGCATACCTTGGTTGTAACGAGTGGTTATTTGAGTTACTGTTGACTTTCTATTATTTCAAACCAGTCCACCTATTCTCCTTTGACCCCCGACATCAACAATTTATTTTCAAACACACAAATGCCACTAACTGAATATGTTCTCTTTTTTGGACCATTCTCTGTAAACTGTAGAGAGGGTTGTGTGTGAAAATCCCAGTAGATCAGCAGTGTTTGAAATACTTAGACCAGCCGTCTGGCACCAACTACCATGCAATGTTCAAAATCACCTAAATCCCCTTTCTTCCCCATTCTGATGCTTGGTTTGAACTTCAACAAGTTGTCTTCACCTCTTCTATGCCTAAATGCATTGAGTTGCTGCCATGTGAAAGCTGATTAGCAACTTGTGTTACCAAGCAATTGAACAGGTGTACCGAACAAATAGGCCGGAGAGTGTATAACAATATAGAAACTACTCTGCAACAAATAGCCATTCTTCATTATTTTTCCACCTGTTAAGCTGCGTCTGTGCATATGGTCTGTTTTGCACCACAATTCCCTGAGGTGTATTTAATTGTGTTTATTTGTGTGCTGCCAATGTCACATAACATATACTGGGTTAGGTATTAATGATCTAAAGTCTATTATGAAAGCCAAAGCCCTAATCCCACAATAATTAATCAAGAACATTTAGTCCATCTTTCAAAGTTCAGCAAATACAACGCTGGTATAATAATAAATAGCAAACTATGATATATAAATATTTACCAATGCATTTGTTCATTTTTTATTCATGATTCCTCTTTTTCCTTGGTTAGGGAGAATCAGTGGCTAGGCTCAAGCAGCGGTGCGGTGTGAAGGGGCTGTAGATGGCAGTGTTATGTTATGTAAGAAGATACAGCAGTGGGGAACGTTTGCCAAGCAGAAGAGCTAACAGGAGTAATCTGATAGAATGGATATTATTAGTTAACAGTGCTGTGCTTGCTAGCATCCTCTCTATATCTCTGATTAGAAAAGAAATGAGTTTTCACACATTGCCACCTTTAATGAAAGCAGTCACACTACACTATCTGTGCTGGATAACTCTTTAAAAAGAACTTGCTTTGTGTACCATTTAATGTGGAATGCAGTTTTCCTGGTCTTTTAAAGCATTACTTATATAACCACCTTTCTTAGACAGAGAACATGGAAATAGATTTGAGCTGGAAATCCTGGCAATAGGCACTATGCTCCCCTTTATTTTAATCAGTTTCTACAGACTGTAGTTATGTTTGGGTAGTGTAGTTTTATACTGTCACTTCCACACTACACCTAGTGTCCATAACTGCTTTAGTATCAATTGAGTTTTAACAAGTTCATTTTCTAAATTTTGAAGATGTATTTTTCTATAACCAGGGCCATTACCGATTACACTTTACAGATGCTACAATCCTCCAGCAGTAGTTGACAGTTAGCAAGATGCAGATATATTAGGATGAGACACCCCTAACCATAACCATTTAACTATGTCGGTTTTATTTCTTATTGTGGTTAAATTGTTACTAAACCGACAACAGTAAAATCCGTCTGTATATGCAGTAAATCATGCTGGTTATACTCATTGTGGAACCTAAGGGGTTAATCCTCTGCATTGTGTAAAAAGGCTGTTTGACTCTGACTTCTCTGATCCTCCTCTTTTTCCAGTGTCCCCCTCTTATCTCCTGATAAGGCATATCGTGTGGAGACACTCTGCACATGCTCAGTTTGATGTGTATTGCTAAAGAGGTTTTTTTTTTCTTGGGATAGTGTATGTGATCAGCACAGGGCCAATCAACACTGTCCAAACAGAGGTCAGGGGTTCTGCCTCCTCCTAGAGCAGAATGAAAACTCCTCCTACAAGCTTTAACATGTGCTCTGCTGGACACTAATAGAAGTCACACAAGACTGCTCTAACTGCTCATGAGAAAATGTATTTAGCAGTTTATATTAACTAAAATAATTGCATTGCGTACTGTGAGAGATCAGATATAGTGAATGCAGGGTCCTGGGTTTAGCAACACTTTAAATTTGATCACTCACTTTTTCAACCTCAGTTGCCAATGCAAAAAGGGAGCAATGTGCTTGGTACTTGAAAGCTCTCTGCATTTTAGGCGCTGATGCCTGATGTCACTCTGTCCAGTATTCAATCAGACTCTGTCAGAGAGGGGTAGGCACAGGCAGTTCTGTGCTGCAAGGTGTCCTGTTGGAAAAAGAAGAGTGCCAGCTCTACACAGTGCTCTGGCATGCTCTGTCACTGTGTGAAGGGTGACCCACTAGCCCACCAGGAAATAAAAGGCACACTTTCTTCCCTAGACAGCTAGATGTTTTTATTGGGGTTACAGGTTCCCTGACCAAGGGGTCACATGGGGCCCCACAATTTCTGATGGCTCTGTTTATAATCAATCCCACCACCAATGCTGCAGGGGAATTCCAGTACTCAAGGGGGGTTATTTTTACAGCTAACCAGTGAATACTAATGCTGGGGAGGATGTTATTTTTACAGCCAGCCACTGACCACTAATGTAGAGACATTTATTTTCACAGCAAACCGATAACCACCAGTGGGGGGGGGGGGGGGTATTTTTTTTATAGCCAGGCACCGACCACCAATACTGGGGGGGGGGGGGGGGTTATTTTTACAACCAACCACTGACCATTAATGCTGCTAGGATTATTTGTACTTTAAGCCACTGCCCAGTGATGCTTTGTGGTCATTTTTACAGTCAGCCTCTGACCACCAATATTGCGGGGGATTATTTTTCCAGACAACCACTGACCATCATTGCTGTGGGGTGGGGGGTATTTTTTCAGCTAGCCACTGACTATCAATATTGGGGAGCTATTTTAATATGTGAACCACTGACCATTGCTGTGGGGGAAGTTATTTTTACAGCCAGCCACTGGCCACCAATGCTGGAGGGTTATTTTTACAGCCACACCCTGACTACCAATGCTTGCGGTTATTTTTACAGCCAGCCACTGACCACCAATGCTGGTGGTGGGAGGAGGTATTTTTACAGCCAGCCACTGACCACCAATGCTGGTGGTGGGGGGGGGGGGAGGTATTTTTACAGCCAGCCACTGACCACCAATGCTGGTGCTGGGGGGAGGTATTTTTACAGCCAGCCACTGACCACCAATGCTGGTGGTGGTGGGGGAGGTATTTTTACAGCCGGCCACTTACCACCAATGCTTGGGGTTATTTTTACAGCTGGCCACTGACCACCAATGCTGGTGGAGGGAGGGAGGTATTTTTATAGCCAGCCACTGACCACCAATGCTGGTGGTGGGAGGGAGGTATTTTTACAGCCAACCACTGACCACCAATGCTGGGGGGTTATT